ACTATCGACTCGCAGTAAAAATTAACAATAATAAGTTGGAAAAAATGTTATTGAACATTTTGATTTCACATTCTCTTTCAATCTTTGAAAGTTAGCCATTTTTAACTTTAACCATTTCTGTGTGTAAATAATAGAAATTAAAATATAGTTTATGTACAAAATTGTAACAGCAGTGAAAATGGTAATTACGCATTATGCACCTGTCAATGCCATTTTTAAAGCCAAGTTTTTTGGACGGCTTTGGTCGTAGCATATTTTTTGCCAATTACGCCTGGAAAAAGTGTCGCCACTACGGCAGCAGCGTTTAATGTGGTTAATGCGTTTCGAATATGAAGAAACGCATGCTTCAGATGCCAACAATGGAGATTTACTAATTTGTTGTAAAATTGTTATAAAATCCTATGAAAAATGCGGATGATGAAGTGGTGGCATATTGTAAAGTTCATAATGGAACTTAAGAAAAATGAAGTCATAAAAAGTGAACAAAAGGTAATTCGGTTTCCGAAATAAACAAAAAAAAAACCGACTGAGACTTAGACTGAGTAATAAGTAGTGTGTTTGTATTTATGATTATTTCATTTTATTTCCTTTAAGATTTAAATAAATGACATATAACAGGTATTAAGTTAACTTTGGTTTGTCCGAAACTTGAATACCCTTCATATAGAGTCCCTGAGAACCTATTAAGTAAAATTTTTCACATCTGAAACGCACTTTTATATATGAGGATCACTTAAGAAAAATATAACAAAATTAATCTGGTCTGATGGAATACTTTTTTGACCAAAATCCTACGAATTTAGGTACTCTTTATAACATCAAAAGAACTTGGGGTCGGTCGTTTGAAATATTTTTACAAAAATTTTTTAGACAATGTTAAAAAGTAAATATATATGCACAAATGTATATGCATATTAATCTCAGTTAGTATTATGAAATATCTCACAAGAACTTCAAGTTACTTCACAAGACTTCGGTAGCACGTTTCCCGGAGAAATGATACGTCTAATTTATAACAACCCTAATTAAGTTATTTCACCAATGCATTAAACATACGTAAATAATTTGTTGTTTATACTAAATACGATTTAACTTATTGAAACAAACTTAAAAATATATTTAACAAATACATGGCTATGGGCAGTGATACTATGAATCCATTGAGACCTGTTGGTTCACCGTCTTATAATTTACTAATATTGTTTAAAAAGTAAGTTTCTAGCATATTTATATACATTATTACGGAGACATATCGTTGGGCCATTGTCTTGTCGTTTTCAAAGGTTTGCGTACATCGAACCTTTAATATAGCCAATATACTCTCCAAGTGGAGATCTTACCGTTGACTGTGATTCTATAGAATGTTTTAAGCATATTTACGTTTTACGGTGATACTTGGTATCCAATTGGGCCTGCTGACCCTTTGTGTTGTCATCTTGAGGATTTTACGTACCTATTTCAAATCCATTCATATCCAAAGCTGAGATATTTTTCAAGTGGAGTTCTTGTTATTGACTAAGATTTTTTAAAGGTATTTTTTTATTTATGATTGATGGAGATGTTTTAAAATAGCATATTTACGCTATAACGATATGTAGTATCCAGAATATATACTGATGGCTAAAATTGCCAAGTCACAGTCTCTTAATTTTTCTCAGTTCGTTAGAGATATGTGTGGTGTAGCGTTGTAAAGAAATTTTTTATTAAGTTAGTAAATTTCTTGCTTTGACTTTAATTACTTGCAATACAAAATTGAACCCATCGATTAACCAAACCGTACTGACTTAAATGGATAATGGATAAATATTCTAGTGATACCACTTCCTTATCGTTGATATTGTTATAATGTAATCAAAACAGCAAACAGTCTAATAGACTAGTATATCTGCATTGATTTATTAGGTCAAGCTAATTGAGAATATATACTTTATATACTCTACAACCTTGTATTACAAAGATTCAGAAGGAAACTACTTACTATATATCATTTTATATCGTATGTTCATAAATATATATATAAGTTCGTAGAATATATCTATCATTTTATATTACTGTTTCGTAAAGCTAATATTTCCCTGTGTCAATTACATTTTGTGATCTATCTAATTCAGATAGATACAAATCTTTAAAATTAAAAGATAATTATCCGTATCTATATTCCTAGTATCATAATTAAAACATAAATTGTCTGTTCTCAAATAAAAGGAACCAATGCCAACATGTGCCTGCCTAAATTCACGTTTTTTATTAGTTATACAATTAGACTTATCGTATCTTTTTATCACATTTTTATATGGATTATGTATAGATTTTGTATAAAAAATAGTACTTATTGGTGCATATCAGTTGCGCCAAGTAAACATATCATTGTATACCAGTGAATGAAATCAAGCTGTAAAGTACCAATAATAGTGTACTGTTTCATATTTTTGTAAAAAAACACTACACTACAACAGTACACTATATAAAGTCCGAAATACATCAATAAAATTTTTAGTGTCTACAAACGCAAACAAAATTTTTGTATCCTCTTAAGTAAACAAAACAACATTGCACTTTAAAAACATTTCCAAAATGTTTTGATAAATAAACAATAAAATACACTACCTTCAAGAAATGATCGCTACAAAAGTTCACTAACTTCGAGAAAGGATTGTAAAAAGTTCACCACCTTCGTAAAAAGTACACTAAAAATTTCACATGAGATGTTGAAAACAGTATGCAATTTAGTGTTTGGAATATGTCGCTTTCATTTTTAGTGTACTGTTTGTGTGTGCATTCATGAACACAAACAAACACCACCCATCAGTTTATAGTTTATGAATATTAGGCAAGGTTTTTTGCACCATAAATTTCATTTAATTTTTATATATCCTGCTATTTCATATTTTTATATTTCCTAACCTTGCCAAGATTAATCAACTTCATCATTTCAGCAAAGATCAACAAACTAAACTTTAAATTCACAACTTATTTTTAATATCATAATTATTTTATTGCTGAAAAGCTGTAACAATTATAAATAATAATTGTAATAAAAGAAGCATAAATCTCGGGTCTCTAATATTATAGAAAATTAAACTTTCATAGATTGCTTCTTAATGTTGGTGATAAAGATAAAGATACATTAAGTATCTTTATTGAAATGTAAAGGAACAAGTTTCAAGTTTTTTTGCAAAGGAAGTCTCATATTAAATTCATAAGAGAAGTATGATATACTGTGGATATAATAATATCTTTCATTTCGTGTATGTAAGTATGTATGTAAGTATGCAGCAGATGTATGTATGTAAGTACGAAAAAAAGTATATTACTTAATTTATGTGAATAGTGAGTTAAAATGTTTATATGTATTATTAAATGATTAACATATTGCCGCCTAATGAAATTGTTGCCACTGGAGAGAACCTCTTTTACTGGTTTATAAAATGCGCTACTCATTGTACGTAATTATCTTGAAATTAGGCGTGAGAAAAAAAACGCGAATACAAAAGAAAATTATTCATAGTTGATTAGAGGGATTCACTGGATAAAAGACGAGTGTTGAAAACTTTCAAAAGCTGAACTACAAACGGGTGTGTCAGCGGTGCTTGAAATAATTTGAAAACACAAATGCTTCGGGCAACATTTAATAATAATTTTATACTTAAGTATGTATAGTATGTCTTCGCTTCAATGTATTTAAGGTGGCAGACCCTTAAAGGGGAAAAAATGTATAAAAATTATATCATGTTACTAAAGCTGGTTTGTATCAGAAATGAGTGTAAAGAAATAAGGAATAAAAGTGAATTTATACCTTAACATATTGATATGATTAACAATAATTTATCAAAATTAAATTTATTCATAATTTATTTATTCATAATTTATTTATTCAAAATTAATCTAAAATTTGATATAAAGTTTTGGCTTCTATAGTAGGATAAGTGAAAATTTGTTAATTAAGTATTTTGTTTCAAACGAAGTTTATTTGCAAAAGAATAAAAGTAAGTTTATGTTCTGTGACCAGCAATAGGTGATCTTACACCTAACAAAGATTTTGAGAACTATAAACGTGATTATCTAAGATTTTATGAATTTTTATAAAACTGGCATCTCATTAAAGATGTGCGATTCTGGAAAGTATTAGTATTAACATTGTTTACGTGATTGTAATTACAACGTACAGTAATATCACACTTTCTTAAACATGCTTACATCAACAATAATAATGATTAGGTTAGGCTAGGTTGTACCGAAAATCCAAAGGGATCCACTTAGGCCTATTGGCTTATTCTGACAGTCAAGATGTGATTAAGTCAGACTATGATGATTAAGTTAGGCTATGTTGTACCTTTGAATCCAAAGCGATCCACTTAGGCCTATTAGCTTATTGTGACAGTCAAGATGTAAGTAGCAGTTGAGAATTTATTGCTATTTATTACTTATTGATTATAGGTTATAGTAATATATGTTATATCTATAAATTTTTATTTACATATCGTTATAAAGGTATGATGATTGTCTAGATTACATATAGGTATGTGAATAAATCACTTTATATCTAAGAACTGATAATTAAAAAATAGTCGCACGACAATAAAGAGCAATTCTTTCGGTCGTTTTTTTAAATTTGGTATTTAATTGGCTTTAAAAATGTTCTCAAGATGTAGCAAAAATCTTAAAGTGGCCTAATTAAATGTTGTTCCAGAAGCATCAAAGTAAAGTATTTTTTATATTGAATACGTGATGGTATGCAGAATAATATTGTAATTATAATTAAAAATCTAGAACAGAAATGTATTTTTCCACCTGACACAATGCTGGAGAGAAGAGAACAATGGTAAGTATTTTTTAATCACCTTTTTGGACGCAAAGTTATTTGAAAATAATAATCTACATATTTATTTTAATTTATGCATATTTAAGTTTTTTTTACACACTGTTATATTGTTTTTATTTATAACTAAATAGTAAGTGAAGTTTGTTGCTTAGCTCTATTGTTTATTATACTAACTAACCTGTTTTAATTGCCACTGCAATGTGTCCACTTGATTCTGTAATAGAACCGCTTCTATATTCATAGAATTTTCGTGTACTTCAAATGATGTGGGCTGAGTTAGTGGAGGCGGAAGCGGTGGTTTCTTATGTTCTACGGTAACTGCCACTGTTGGATAATTTGATTTAGACATTGTGGTAGTTTCGTGTTGGATTTCATCGTAGCAATTAAAATCCTGTAAAATTAAAAAATACTTATTTAGACATTGTATAGTGATTATATTTAATATAAAGTAATAGACTAATGAATTACTGTAGTAGGTTGACATGGTTACACATACAATTAAACAAGCATAATTAAAGAGTTGCCTATGTATTGATCATTATTGTTTTATTATATATAATAACAAATAATTATGGACCATTAAAATGTTGAAATTTCAATTAATTATTTATAAAAATATTATATATAATTGTGTGTTTTGATTTAATATGTATACTACATCTTACCAGTATATCTCGAGGGTATGATGAAGATTTATTTTTGGTCTACTTACATACACATGTGTTTATTGATGATTTTTAAATTGTAGTGTATATGAAGCTTATTAACTAATATGTATTATTGTTGAAGAAGTTAATATATTTTATATATAATAACTAATAATGAATGTCATTAACAAGCATCATTTAATATGTAGTAGAAACCAAAAATGTTAAATATATATTCACATGTAGACAATATATGTCTTCAGTAAATAAATAATGACGCTTTTTTTGTGTTTTCATAAAAAAGATTCAAAATAGACCTTAAGAAATATTTTAATAATTTTATAAAAATCAAATATTTGTTTGAGTTAGGCCTTTAAAGTAATGTATAACACATACTTTGCATTGGTAAATAATTTATGGCACAATTAAATTATATTTTATTTTAAAAAGTAATCTTTAAATTTAATCTTTAAAAATTTTTTAAATCGTAATAAATTACTTATTTATTATAGTATCGGCTACCGAATTAATATTTAACTTCAGAGATAGATATCATATCAAACGAAGAGATATAAATGTTAATAAAGTGAATAATGGCTTCATAAAAAATCAACTTCAAAGGTTGTAAATTTTAATAAAAGTTATTATTAAGTTTAATTAGCAACATTTTATAATATTTACATTTTTGTGGTCACAAGCTTTCAAATTATTTAGCTAGCTTATAGCAGACATTTAAGATAAATGTTAAATGCATTTAGTGTATAGTAACTGTAAATGTCAAGAATAATTCTAAACAACATATACTAAAATAATTAATTGTTCATCGATAATATTACAATTTATTCGAATTTAAGACATGTATATTTAAAGTAAATGAGCCAAAGTGCCAGCTAAAAGCACATCGGTCAAGGTACGTAGCAAAAATTAACACAAAAAAGTTCTAGCTAACAATATAGAACACGGAGAAAGAAAGTACTAAACGGAAAAATAAGAAATATTTCACAAAAACAGCGTCAAAAGTGCTAACTAAAAGCACTAAAAACAGAAAAGTTGAAGCGACAGAAAAGAAACTGCTGCTATTTATGTAAATGCTGTTGAAATCGATAAAATTGAGTTTTAAAATAGATTTATATATATGTTTCTACCACTTAAATCAGATTTCGATTTGACATACATTCACATAATCAAGAAATTTGAAACAATTGGTTGTAAGTGAAAGAGAGAGAGAAAGAGCGTAATTGGAAGTAAGTGAAAGTAGAAAGTAAAGAAGATCGTCTACGTGAAACAAAGTGACATGCAACGGTATATCGATTAACGTGATGCTTAGCAATGGATAATCTATTATGAATTGGAGTAGTACAATGACGCGCAAATTAAGAGAAGCAGATAAACTCTCTTGAGAGGTATAGAGGCTAAACCCGCAAGGCTATGAGACACCTCACATGCCAGCTATGACTTTTAGTAGAATAGTGGACTGCAAATTAAGGGGAACAGATTAATAGCGTTAGATAAGCATCGAAATTTAACCACCCTCTTCAGCAAACACCCTCTTTGCTCTTTAGGCCACCCTACATACCAGTAATGACTTAGAAGGCGATAGTTGAATGCGTATTAAGAGAGTAAATTGCTTGCAGAATGATATTGTTGCTTCTTTTTTATAAGAGTCGGATTCTAACAGAGGCTGTATGCTACACCTAGAATTATATATAATACGAGTTACATACGAGTACAAATTGTGATGTATCACACTTATGATAGACAGTATAGCAATACACTGTATCATTAATTTGCCAACAATTGTAGATTCTTTGTATATTCCTTTTGATGAAACCGTGTAGGTGAGTGGATTTCTAAAGTTTGATTGATGTCAATGATTATTTGGATACTGTTTAGTAGTAGAAAGATATTTCGAAAACCTATATAAAAATATAGGTTTACTTATCTTAAAAATGAATATACAATTAAAAAATTGTTGTTGGTTGTATTAAAATTTTTTTTCATTACTATTGGCTTTCCCTTATTATAAACTAAAATTGTGAGTAACTCTTGTTGTGAATGGTAACTGAAGGTAGGTAGTTTGTATTAGGATTGAACTTACGACACGGCATACGTTATGTGTTATTTCCGGATAAAAAATATTTGGGAAGTACTCGTACGAATATGCAAAACGAGTTTGTTGTTTAAGTCTATAGTATTGTATTTCATTATATAAATTTAATGAAATATTTAAATTTTCGTGGTAATTATTTAATAGATCTAACATAATAATGTTCATTTCTATTTTTTTGTATAAATGTTTCATAATTTGTTTTTTTTTTTTGATATTTTAGCTTAGCATTATTTTTTTTTTATTTTATTTTGGAGTTTGTAGTTTTTTTAATGCAGATAAAAGATACTAAACTAAAGTTACAAGTAATTTACTTGATTGCGATTTCGTATATATTGACAAACCCATGAATGAATTTAATATTTTCAGTTCATCAATTATGAATCTCCAACGAAGCTTAGCAGCTGACTTTTGTGCAAATAATAGCAAAATTATGAGTGTCACAATATGAATGAAGTATATAGTGCGGGTAAAAACGAAAATATAAGATAATATATATAAAAATATAATTACTTTATTTATAATTTTTGATTAAAAAAGGCAGTTTTGTTATGAATTGTGAATTATCATTGTTAAAACGTGACAGCAGAGGCGATTGCGTCTGTTGACCACAATTGTATCTTGCATACTTAGTTGGAGTTGATAACAATGCTGATGACAATGCTTATGTCGAGCTGTGATGGTAGTTATAAACTAAATACATTATTTAAGAGCTTCAGTGATTATTTTCTTAGTCATTGATTCGAAAGCAAAAGGGTGCTTACTGCCTCCAAATATAAAAATGTCACAACTACATCATTTGTAAGTCATCAACTCTGGTTAAAAAATTTTGTTTGTGTTTTACAATGACGGTGGGAAATTTGTTTAATGCAATTCTCCAAAATTTCAAACATTGTATTAATATATAAAAATGCTGTTGTTTTTTTTTCAAAGAAACATTAATTATATATATTTCGACACAGTAATTTTTATGCAATCCGTAAACTAACAAAAGAAATTTAAAAAATCATTACGTTTTACATACTAAATTAAATTGTTAATTAAGTAGTTTATTTGCTATAAGCTAAGCAAACATAGTAAAAAAGCATCTCAGCACGATTACTTTTTTCTCATCTTGAGTTTTGGTTGCAGCTATTGCGATGCAGTCAGTGGATTTCCTGCTCATTTGTTTGCTTTTCTTAATGTATGCTGTATGCACAGATACATACAATCCATACAATTTAAGCGTTTCTTTTTGAAAAGGGTTTTTAATACCCAGTAATGCCTTCACAGCTAATAAAGCACTTTGGATTGGAGTTGCTTCATTTAATTTACTTCATTAGTTGTGTGGAGATATGTGTTGTTTTTATCAACTTCCTGAATTGTTCAACAAAGCCCCAGTGACAGCAGCATCAGCATCAGCATCAGCCACAATTGCTGTATGTTCATCATCATTAATATCGTCAACAAACGTCATGGGGCACATCACCTGTCTTCTACGCTTTATCATGTTAATCAGCAGTAATACCAACCAACCAATCCAACTTATACACAGCGTTTAACTTTTTACTTTTTTTCGCCCTTTATTTTAGGCCTGCTTTAAACCAATTTGAACTGACTAGGCTCTTCGCATTTAACTAAGTATTGCCGACCAACATTGGTTGCACACTTGGCTGCCGGCATTTATACAGGCGTATAAAAATCTCATATGGGAACTATTGCATGTGGTACAAAAAACAAAAACAAAAAAAAAAAAGAAAAACTTTATTTTATTTCGGAATGCATTTGTTTAGATATTTTTTGTTATTTATTTTGCTGTTAGTTAATTTATTCACATATTGTTTATATTTTTTGTTTCATTTATATATACGATATTTATTTTCTTTTTATTGGAGCAGCAAATTTACTGGAGCAGAAACAGAAATAAAATTTAGCGTTGCCAACGTGTTGTATTTTATTTGGTAAGATTTTAAATATGTAGAATTGTATCTGCATTTAGTAAAAAAAAATTGAATAAAATCGTATGTTGAATAATATACGTGTAATATATTGAAAAACTGCGTAAGATAAATACAGGAAATAGTTTCGGTATCTCATTATGAATCTCATTATATAGTAAATGTGTTTACATATGTAATATTTGCAATATAATATGCGAAAATAAAATATGTTTAGGATTGCAACATAAAACTGCTTTATACCACAAAAAAAATAGCTTAAAAAAATCGTTTATTGATCAGAATGTTAAGTATATGGGTCATATCCTTGGCTCCAAAATCAGCTAGAAAGCTAATTTGGCTGAAATGGTTCATACGAAGATATGTGCTATTAACTGTTGTATAAGCTCAGTTGTCCCTAGATGGTATATTTAGTCCCGCTTGATTTAAGACAGAATGACACATATCTGGGTTATATTCTTAACACTAAACTGAGCTGGAATGGGTCCATAAAAAAATGTGTGCTTCTTACTGTTACTGTTCACTCGAGATAGTATTTTTGAGCTCGAATCGTCCTCTGTCTCTTCAGAGCTGTTATTGAACCTATCCTTTTGTACGTGCTTGTTTTTTCATGGTATGTAAGAAGCATGGTTATATTGCAGGCTGTTGGTGCAGTATACGCCACCACCTTAATTGTTTTATTTATGTTACTTAATTAGTTGCTCTCTAGGTTTCTGGTAAAACAACAAGCAAAGTAAGAAGGAACCAGATTTAACGTTTTAAATGTAATCAAGAATTGAAATAGCAAACGCAATTACACTGAATCAGAATTCTCAATCTTTTAGTATTACGAGATGGCTTCCTTCAATGAGTTTTCTAGGCTTGTCAGACGAATTTGTTAAAGCAGGAACCCTGCTGTCCTATATGTATTTTTCTAGTAAATATCTAGGGTTGGTTTTTAAAGAAGATTCTAGTCAGATTTTTAGACACTCTTGGTCTAAATCGGACAAAACTCATATCAATTAGCTACTTCCACTGAAGCGGTATTAATTTAGTACTACTCTGTCGTGGCTGAAAGGTCAATACGTACGAAGGCATGAAATAAGACTCGTCAAACAACGTTTGTCGGAGTTGTAGCTTCACAGATGAGGACGAATCTGTACTCGATCTCAGTGCCTATCAATAGTTAAAAGCAGATTTCATGTCTTTAAAGAGTCTTTTTTAATTGAACGAACAGAGATGTCATCCTTTTAAAATAAAATATTTAATTAAATTTCTAAATTTGTTAGGTTGATTCATTTTCCGAAGGGGCGTCGTGGTCCATGCACTAGATATTTGAGACTTTTATCCTGACATAAAAACCGAATGTGTTGCTTCAAGCTTAGCGTATAAGAGGGTGTCTAATCCTTGGTATCGCAATCTATTATTTACTATATGTTACCTTTAACTGATACTTCCTTCATTATGAAAGCGTTGGTAAATCAATTTAACTAATTTTGAATTTAATATATGACATGTTTATATATTGATTTTGAGGCCTTTAATGTGTTTTATACCAGGCATGAAAAAATTGTCTATAATAATTTTTTTTATAAAACTAAGATTTTGGATTTGTGATATCTGAAACTCAAATATTATTTACAGGGTAATATTGACACAAATATTCAAATTAAATAACATTAATTACTTAATAATGTACTTGATTAATTACATTTTTTTTTTTTTTTTGATATTTCTTTTCTATTAATTATGTAACAATTTTATGTCATTGCCAATATTTTTGGTAAATGTACAAAATCTAACGAAAATAAACAAATTACGCTAGTAAAAATGACAGTAATTAGTCGTTTTGCACGGTCTATTGTGGCGCCCATTTTTTAACACTTTTAATGTAAAAGGTCGTAATTACAAAAACTGGCAAAAGTAGACAAAAGTCAACCTCTAAAATTTTCTGATAAAGCAAGTCCATTAGAAATTTTTTTTGAAAAAAATTTAATTTGGTATATTATTATTATATAATATAAAGGTTGACGAAATGCAAAAAAAATGTTGTTAAAGGAAAAGACATTTAAGGTCAGTACAGGCAGAAAGTAGTGAATATTTATATCTTTTATTTTTTGAGGAACTGCAATTAACTTAATTAGTAACACAGAAATTCACTAATATAAACGTTTCAATGCAAATTAAGACTACTTTTTATATTTAACATGTAAAAGAGTTCAAAATGAGCTACTAAAATGGAAAATCCATTTTGCATGCTCTCGCAGAGAAGAAGTGTCGCGTAACTGGCGGATATCATCGGTTCCACTTCGCAGCTTCTGGATTTTAAAAATGCGTCTGTTGCTTTAGATTAAGCGCTCACCACATATGGAAAATGCAATGAATAAATTATACACACATTTGTTAATAATTTAGTTTACCTGCATATGACTCTGCTAAAGTATATAATGTGAGCAGACAGAGAATGTTTTCATAAATACTTTATATAAATAAATACACTACTTGTAGTTTTTAAACAATGTATGAAATGAGTTAAGAAATGGCATTTCTATAATGAATATTGAAATAAATATTTTAAAAATTTCAATTATTTTTACTTAGTAAGCATTTTATATAGCCTTTGCCAGCTTAACTCTCTTTCAAGCGCGGACAAATATGATCTATAGATGCTTTGAGTTCGGTAGACTTCAATGTCTGAGTCTACAAGTGAAATATGTATGTGTGGAAATCTCTTTGCGGTAAATTTTATGGTAAGTGGCAGTGAGACAAACCATGTCTGCACTGGAAGCATGAAATAGATCAGAATTTTGTGAGCATAGGGGAGACTAACTGGTTAACATTGGTTTACAAATGGTATCAGTAGAAAGATTTGATAGCAATAACATATGCTTGTGATCAAAAAAGAACGAGAATTTTAATTTTTGAATTCCTGCGCTTATCCAATCGGTAATTTTTTTTTATTTTCACAGGATGAGAAGAGTACTTTGAAGGCGATAATAAAGAAAATTATTAAAAATTATTATTGTAATAGAATAATGGTAGTAATTTTTGCCAATAGATTCAAAAGTTTGTCGTGTTATATTCTTAAATATTTCTAAAAATCTTTATAATAGTTTATTATCGCTATGTTAATGATACTAATGCTAATAATAACCAACGAAATACTTAACTTATGGGTAATACCTGAACAAACAAAAATAGGCAGGGGTCATATTCAATTCAATTAAAAATTATTTCAAATTTAGAAATATTTTAATCTCAAAAAATATCCACTGCAATAAATTTAAACAAAAAATCTGTTTAATTGAATAATTATCATTTTTACAATTTTTTATAATAAATTTTTTGTTTTATAGTAAAAATTAATTTAAAATGAATCTAAATTTTGATTTTGTCTAATTTGTCATATCTCAATACAAATTTAAAAACATTTAAAATTGAATATTCAAACTCTACAGATACATTTCATATTCTTTTTTAATTGATTTGAAATGATTTCAATCAAATTTATGTTTTATTCAGACTTGAATGCCAATTGAAAAGTCAGACAAATGTGTTCAAATTTGAAAAATTAAATCAATTGCGTTTAAATAAAAATAGAACAATTATAATAAAAATTATTTTTAGTTTGTTGATATGGAACACTGAGTCCAAATTGTTTTAAAAATTAAAAAAAAAATTTGCTGCGGTTTTGTTCAGGCTTTATTAGTCTTCAAACATATATTAATTATTTTCTATTGGCTTAATTTTCAAAAAAAAATTTTTTAAAAGATTTGTTTTTAAATTCTATATAAAAACTTAAATGAGTAAGGTTATTCCTTACTCATAATATGTTATTTAGCGAAAATGACCGATTTGCATTGTCTTTAATAGATATTTTGGAATTAAAAGCCAAAATATAGGTTATAAAGTTACATTCAAGTTTTACATATTTAGCAAAAATGGGCTAATTTTTTGCATTGATATTTCCCAAAATGCAAATGCTTTGAAACACATTAAAAATTAATTAGACTAAACCACAAGACATCAAAGAGTACATATAAAAATATATACAATATGTATAATATATAATAATACATATATATTTGCATAATTTTTTTTTTGTTGAATCTATTTATTTTATTTCTAGACTGATATGAAATGATAGACCTGTTATTCTACTTTCCTAAAGATTATCCTATTTAATTTAACTTAGTCGTCGTAATATCTGGTAAATAAGTTCTGGTTACTTATTCCATTCGTTGTAGTATGTATATATAAAATAATTTGTAATATAATATTAGTTTTCAAGATTCTAAAACTTATTGTTTTAATAATAGGCTGCAAATAAAAGCAATTTAATAAAAATGTATTTTTATATAAAATAAAAATTATTTTATTACAATCTGACAAGTATAAATGACAATAGGTAATATTTACTACGAGCTAAAAAAAAGAAAGGCGCGTATGGACGATACCCAGTGACATGTCCATATATACTTAAAATAAAAATGTGTGACCTACATATACATATCTAAGACGTCTCTCGAAGACTTTCTTATTAGAAATCTATCTGTATATAGCAAATATTTTA